GATTATTTGTTAAGGTTCGATTCGCTTCCCCATACTCCTCGCCTTTGAATTTCATGCTGGTTGAGTCAAGGCCAAACGGCAAGTTCCCTCCCTTATCTTCCCTCGCGGAGAGGGACGCCGGAGCCTGCCAGAAAACTTTACTCAAAAAATTTTTGGACTAGAGAGATTTTTGAAAGAAAAAAAATACGAAATCTATTTGAACTAACTGTAATAATTGATCGATTTAAGAAATCCCATTCTAAATATTGATAACTTAATTATAATATATATATGAATAATAATAATATATTTTTTTAATATTTTTATAAAAATTATAATTTATTATATATTATTTATATATTATATATATATATATATATATAATATTTTTTTTAAAAAAAGAATATAACTTTACATTATTATTTTGTTATATAATAATATATGATATCATCTTTTTAAATATTATATAAAAATTTATTAGTTAGTATAAGATTTAAGCAATTATGGGCTATAGTTTCAATTTTCAAAAACCGCCAAAAATAGACGTATACCGTCATCAGATGATGATGATTTTTACTGTAGTGCATTGCCAACGACTACATTCTATTGACCATCATCGCCCAACGCCTATCTTTTATCTTTTTGTAGCTGGATCGCATAAAATTATGACGCTAACTTATATATCACTATATCGATGCAAATTTTTCAGAACCCAATAAGTTTAAAATTTAAAAAATGAATCAGTACACTAAATGTTTTGGAATTTTGTAGGAAAACACAAAATATTTTGGCATTTTCCTACAGCTAAATTTATTTTCTACCGAATATTTTGTAGATATGGTATTTATAAAATTTGATAATATTTCAGATTGGTAGTGTTGTGAGAGGTTCAGGAGTAAAGTCATTTATCAGGGTTTCAAAAACTTAAATAAAAAACAAAACTAATTATTTTTACAATGTTTACCTTAATAAAAAATGTCATAATAATTAAAATGTTATATTATTAATATAATGAATTTTTTAAGAAAATACATTTATTGTAAATTTATATATATTTTAATTTAATGATAAATATTAAAGTTTTTGGTTTAATTTACACCTTTCAAATACAAAAAAATAATAATACATTTTATTATATTAAATTTATATTTGATATTTGATAAAATATATAAATTCTTATATAAATTTTATAAATTTTAAATTAAAATATTATTAAAGATGTTATATCTAATTAAAAAATTTAAAATGTTTAAATTTAATTAAATAATAACACATGTAAACCTTTTAAAATACAAACTTTATTTAGTTTTTAATATTTAATATATACATATCTATAAAATATTAATTATTTATATCAATTATAATAAATATATATATTTTAATATTCAATATGAATAAATAATAAATAAATATAAATATAAACATTATATATATATATATTATATATATATATATATTATATATATATAAAATACAAAATATATTAATATATATTATATATATATATATAATTACTACTTTTTTAATGTATTATAAATTTTTTTCTACTAAAAGAAATTATAACTTTTAGCATTTTTATTATTATGTAAATTATATAAAATAAATTATGATATTATATCTTTTTAAATATTTAATAAAATAATAAAAATTTCTTTATAACATTATATTAAATATTTAATAATAATATATCAAAATTTATTAGTTAGTATAGATTTTAAACAATTATAGGCTGATATTCGATACACAGTTCTAATGATTGAATAGTTGAATATTCACAAACTGATTACAACGCTTATTAGAACTTGCTGAGATGGTTAATAAATTTTATTTTTATGAAACGAATGCGTAACATATCTTTAATTTTCCTAAATAATAGGTTAGCCTTTTCTTAAAAGAGGCGCTTTTAAGGAAAACTCCAAAATTTTAACATTTTTCTTAAAAACGCTAAAACATTTGGTGTATATGCTAATTTGTAAATTTTATTTCAAAAATATTTTTATTTTATTTAATTAGAATTATATTATCTCTTTTTTATATTTTATCCTTTTTATATTTTGAAATGAAATAGCATTATTTGGTTTTTTAAAAACATATTAATTTTATTTATTTATGAAAAATATTGGGATGTCATCGAGGTGATGACGATAGTCAATAGTAATGTCGATGATGGTCGCTATTGGCAAGCATATTGCGATGTCAACGGGAGATGACAACCACCGTGATAAGTATTTTCAAAAACACTCAAAATAACTAAAAATTAAATTAAATATTTTTTAAAATAATTTAATCATTTAAAAATAAATAATAGCTAAAACATATTTTTAAAATAAACATAAAAATGATTCGGCCCTAAGCTAACTACAGTATGGAATGGATGGCAAAAAATTTTGCATTTAGAAGCAAAAATTATTTTTGTGAAAATACAGCATATGGCCAAAAGAATGAAACTTTAAAAAAAAATCAGCATAAAAATTACATATATAAAATGATGCCTTAATATACATACGTGAAATGAGGACTAACAAATTATATTTTAGGAAAAAAATTTCAGATGTAATATTTTGTTTCCAAAAATACGTTTTTGTAAAATGTCTTAAAATCCTAAGCTCAGATTCTCGCAGATATTTGAAATATAAAAATTAAAAATCTAACACTTATTTTAGGAAAGAAAAACCCAGACCAAATCTCAGTATAAAAGCAACACCGAACTCAAGCATGGAACTCATCAAGCTGATCAAAGTACTATGGCTCCGCATTCTCTTCTTCCCTTCTCTTTCTCTCTGCTACCGTCTGCTACTTCTGCTAAAATAGAGATTTTGGAAACGCTCGATCTCATCTCGAAGCTGTCCGCTTCCCTTCCTCTTCCTAAGCAAGCAGCCGCTGCCGACGAAACAAAGGTAGAAGAAATGCCGGAGTGGGTTGCGAAGCTCGCCGTGGATAAAGGAGCGACCTTGGCATGGAAGGTAATGGAGAAGGAAATCTATGCTTCCGACGTTAGCGACCAACAGAACCGCTTCCTGATAAGGAAGCAGATCGCCGAAGACAGGATAAGGCCGGCGATGACAGGAGACGAGATTGCGGCAGCGAATCTGAAGAGTAGTGGCGATTTCACCACTTCAAAAAGGCGGCGACTTTCTGGCGGAGAAGGGGAGATAGGAGAGAGGAAAGAGGGGAGGGAACATGGAGGTCTTCCGGTGATGGTTTATACAAGATATGGATGGGGTTGCTTGCTTTATCTGACAAGGTGGGATGCGAGTAAAGCTTCTGTGCTTAAGGGAGGAAACTACCGAGAGTTTCATCGTCGGAGTTTCTTGGCCGCCGGCGATGTGGTTGAGATGTGGGCTTTCAGAGATGGACATGGCAAGTTGTGCTTCATCATTGGGAACAAGATTGATCTCTACATTTCTCTTTAGATATATATAGGAATGCATGTTCGCAAAGAAGGCATGGATGGGATGTTTTGGGTTAGGCATGCATGGTGATTATCGATGACCATGCATGGATGTCTGGGGAGTTTCATGTGATGCCACTTAGAGCTGTCCATTTTTCTTTTATTTTCCTAAAATAGTAGCTTAGATATATTAGTTTTAAAGTGCAAATTGCATGTAATGTTTTTAGGTCGATGGATGTATGATGTACCTCATCATTTTGTTCATTATCCTATTAAAAAAAATAATCTTTAGCGTGCTTACTGTTTAAAAATCTATTGAAGTAAAATTTGTAAATTTCATTCTCTTTTTAAATTAAGATATATATTGCTTCTAATACATCAAAAATTTTATCAAAACCTCTAAATATCTCATTATTTGTTTAAGCTATTTTATATTGCTTATAATCTTATTTTAGTATTTTCAGGAAAAAAATTATTGCTCCTATCAATCTGCTTTTATAACCAAACTAGTATACAAATCACGCAAAATCATAGCTCTTGATTTGCTAAATATAATATTCGCAAAATAACTTTCTTTATCATTTTAAGTCACATTAGTGGCTTACTTTTATCACTATTTAAAGACATTTCTTTTCCGATTAGAGAATCTTCTCATTTCACCAATAAATCTCCTTATTAAACCAGCAGAAATTTTTTATTCAAAAATGACGTCTAAACTGCAAGTAAATGTCAATGCAGGTAAAAACTGACATGAAAACATATAACTTACAAAAATTCCTACGGTCAATTGACTGCCAAAATTACCAGCAATTTACTCTTAATTACCAATGGTAAAACCAGTATATTTTCGATGATATTTCCGCGGCCAAATGGCCACCGGAAGTTTCACGATTATTCGATAAATTTCATGTAGATATATATTATGTAATCAAACTTTGATTGGAAATCAGCTTATAATCTTTATATAATTAAAAAAATCTTTTAGTTGAAAGGATTTTTTTGTTAGCTTTTCTTAAATGCTTGTAACGTTTACGACATCTTCAACAATAACAGTCTTATATTAACAACTAAAAACTTACATTAAACAAAGGTAGTTTAAAAAAATGATAAGAGTTTCTACCATTTTGTTAAATAGAATTAGATGTCAGAAATAAACCCTAAAATGTAATTAGAAATAAACATGAATTATAAACCCCATAAAAATCAATAGAAATTTAAAAAAAATAGAATCAATAGAAATAAAAATCAAGTAAATATAAATACTCTCAAAAACACACACATGCTGGTTTAAAAAAAAAAAAAAATCAATGCTACCATTTCCAAACGAACTAAAATCAAACTATTAGATTAAGAAAACAGTTAAGATGTTATTTGATTTGAAATAAAATTGGTGTAAATATTTCATAAGCATAAATTTTGAGAATATTGATCTTTGATTTGAAGTAAAATAAATACTTTATAAAATTTTGATGTATTTAAAATTCTTTGGATTTGGATGAGTTCCAAACACATAAATTTGTCGATATTGCCACCGCCCGTCATTGCCACAAGTCACCATCCACCTCCAACCACAGCCGCCGACCGCTGCCGCCATCAACATAGGCCATGGGATGGAAATATCAATAATAAATTACATGTGAACTAAAACAAATTAATGAAGTTTAACTTTCTTGTTCAAATTAATGTAGATGACACAGTAATGTATGATTACAAATGCCTTGCAGCAAGAAGGTATATGAATTTGGAGTGCAACAATACCTAAGAGGAATCAAGTAGTTTTTAATGTTCTTCTAAGAGAAACGCAGACACAGTAGAAATGGTAGTGTAACATACCCATTAACAATAGCTAATAAGGCCCATTCTCATCAATGTTGATGTAATGGAAAGCCCATCCTCATGCTACCTATGCTGACGCATCTACTGGACTGGTTTCCTCTGTAATTTCCGGCAAAGAAGGCTCTGCTTTATTAGAAGCATTCGCGTTATCTTTATCCTCTGGTTCCTTGGAAGGTTCAGAAAGATCCTCAAGCTGCATCATAAAAGAAACTGTATCAATATGGGTGTCAATTCGGGTCAGCATGTCGGGTTTGTGTCGAACCCGATTTGACCCAAGCATAAACGGGTTGACCCCCGTTTAGCTAAATGGGTTAGGATTTCTACCCCGAACCCGACTCGCACGAGTTGCCGGGTTGACCCGACCCGACCCACAAACCCACGGGAACAGTTGCTGAGTCGTGGACGGTGGAGTCGAGTGAGGCGGATGCTCGAAAAATGTGGGATCCTTGTTAAATGTGTCGACCCGCGGGTTGTCAGGTCAATCCGAACCCGACCCATTTTTCAAACGGATCAGAAATCCGAACCTGAACCCGATCCATTTCACAAACGGATTGACCTGAACCTGGATTTTTTCAGATTGGGTCCATGTCGGTTTTCTAGTCGTGTCAATTTTTGACAACCCCATATATGAACTCCATGAGACGCTAAATAAATCTTTCTAAAAAAAGACTATTGGAGCTAAATAAATATTTAATTTTGATATTTGCAACATAGCCCAATTTCAGGTAATTTGTTACTAGTTACTTTCCAGCATGTGCAATTTGTTTTATATATATATATATATATATATATATATATTAGAATATTAACATATCATTTGGTAATTTATTAATAAGTTATGAGCTAATATATTACTTCTAACCCTCATATTAGTTTTAAGCAATTTTTAAATCGTAAGGCTTACGCCTTAAAATACCTTGAAGCTTATATCTCACCTCGAGGATAGAAAACACCTAAATATATAATTGAGCAATTTTAAAACTTAATAGACATGAGGAAGAATTTGCCCATTGACAACATTGGAAGAATTTGCCTATTAGCAACATCTGAATTCAAACTTGAGGTTCATAGAAGATTGTGGTCATGATGTATGCATGTAGAGATAGGACACAATAGCGTTCCTGAAAGAATTACCAGAAGGAGATCGAACTTGATGAGGGCTATTGTTTAGGACAAAACCCACCTTAACTCGCAAGATATAACGGCAAGAGACAGCCAATGCCCAATACAATAGGCCACCCATGATAAAACTCAAGACCTACCTTTGTCTAACAGTTATAGAGGCAACTCTCAGTCCTACTGGAGTTTACGGTGATTAAAAAAGTTGGACCAAGTTTCGTCTTGCTTGCAGCACAAAAGCTGATAGAGGGCCACTTCCCTAAGTGATAGAGAGACTGACTAACTAAATTATGACTAGTTGCCCTAAGCTTCATGCTAGTTGGATTTAATTTGAGATGAATTCTTAGATATTTTATGATTGGACTTATCATGGAATAAACATCCATGCAACAATTGTAAAAGAACTCAATTATGGTCTACAAATCTAGCTACCAAGGAATTTTAAAATGTGTCAAGTATATGTGGCCAACTCAGATAGCTCATCGCATTGGTCTTCTTGATCAGAATCAAGGGTACTCGGGACCAGGATTGTGGTAACCATCACTATGGCATTGTTTGTGCCTAATCAAAGGGTGTGTGCATGGCCCTTCGTTGTCATGGCATCGAATTAAGGCTTCAACCAACTAAACATCACAATGAACTCCACATTGTTATTCTCAACACCGCCTGTGAGGGTGATTGAAAAGGAGAGCCAAAGTTAATAATTATATCGAAGTGATTGACGGTGATCAAGTTATCGTCACTGGAGGCCCTCGCCTCATCATCAAATTACACTTCTGAGAGTGGAGGTAGATATTTTGTTGGCATGCTCGAATGATTATGCAATCATTGCTGACATCATTGTTGACCTCTAACTGTCATAGACCTACGACTCAGACAACCGACAAAACCACCCACGATCGCACATTCGCACATAACTTCCTCCACAATCTCTCACGACACAAAAACGACTACTCTCATTCAGCTCTCCCAAAACACACAAGTGCAGAAATTTCTTGTAATAATCTTCATTACCCTCCCCAACGAGTAGGATATAAAGATAGCTAAAGTTTACAATGAAGAAATAAAAGACACAAATGCCCCCAAAGGTCACAAACAACTATTCCCTCAAGTGAGGGTAGAAAGGAAAAAAATGCATAAATAAATCAAATACATATAATAACTCAAAAGTAAATCGGTGTGATCATGGTCGTAAATCGTCAACCCCATCTCTGATAAACTCTCTAAGGTCGGATGTCCTCATCAAATTAATTATTCTATTAATATATAATAAATATGATTTATTAATCTGATCAGAATTAATAAGGAATTTTTGAAGTAGAATTAATAATATTCAATTATGTAAATTAAATCTTTTAGATTGCAAAGATTGTAAAGTTATTTCGAGTGAAAATTTATATACCCAACATCGATTATTAGTTTTCGACTTTAAGATAAAAGGGCATAAAATAAAAAAAGAAGTAAAATATTTTTCTAGTATTAGATGGGGGCATTTAAAGAATATTAACAAAAATATTTTTAGAGTAAGATTTTAGATCTTAAGATTTTGTCTGTGCATGAGGATGCTAATGTTATATGGGAAAAAGTGGCTAGTGATATTAAAAATATTGCAAAAGATGTGCTTGGAGTATCAAAAGGAAAAGCTCCTGATAGTAAAAATAGTTGGCGGTGGAATCCAATTGTGCAAGAAAAGATTAAAAATAAGAAGATTTGTTATAAAAATTGGTTTAATTTTAAAGATTCTGATAATAGGGAAATATATAAAGTGGCTCGTAAGGATTCTAAGAAAGCAATATGCGATGCAAAGACATTAGCTTTTAGTGATTTATATAATAGATTAAATACTAAGGAGAGAGAAAGATATATGTATAAGTTAGCCAAACAAAGAGATAAAAGTATTAAGGATTTAGTTCAAGTGAAGTGTATTAAAGATGAAGATAAAAAAAAACTTTTCTTAGAAGATGATATTCAACAAAGGTGGATGAGATATTTTGCTAAACTTTTTAATGAAGATTGTGAAATTAAGATTGACTATAGTGACCTTAGCATCCTAAATGAAAATAAAGATGTATGTTTTTTATCGGAGTATTAGTAAAATTGAAGTTAGAGAGGCTTTAAAGAAAATGAAGGGTGGAAAAGCTGTTGGACCTGATGATATTCCAATGGAGGTGTGGAAATGC